ACTGTGTAGCTCTGGTGAACATAGGCACCACATAGAGATTCACCTGAGTTTAAAAAAAACTATTAGGTTCAGAACCAGATAAACGATCCTTCTAACCACCCTACAAATCCTTTGGAGGTTCTACACCACTGTAGACGGGCACGACTTCAGGTACAATGTGATCAGATCGGTGACAGGAAATACGTATTCCCCTACAAATCAATACCGATCACAATAAATTGCTCCTCTCCAGTAGTGGGAAGGATAGTGCTAAGAGTTTCATAGTCACAATAACTCACTTCAAAACAATGGGGGGCACCCCTTTACCCTTCCGTTGAAACGATCATTTATCCGAATAAGTGACCTCACTCACACACAAATTCAACCGACCAAACATGTACCGCTCACGGCATTTGAGATACTCGTTGTAGAGAGAACACTTTCAAGGGTTCAGTCTCACAATGGCGCGACTACGCGCATAGATGGACGCTCAAAAATCAAAAGTTCACAATCTGATGATGTCGCTACTACCACATATTCACCAAACTTGGATAAGAAAAGAATTAAACGAGTGGATGCTGTTCAGAAAAGGGATGCGTGCTGTTTGGAACAGCCTAACCAATGAAAGTCGGTCCGGCCATCTGGAACAAGGTATACACCATAACAATCGTCTCGATTCACTGCGCTCTCTAATGTTTCCCATATCTGCTGAAAGACGGTGTCTGGACGGAGTTACAAAGCGGAAATGCGCAGTGGTACAAACTCGAGCTCACGGGCAGGAGGTTAATGAACATGAGGTAAATGAATCGACCCCTCATCACCTTTATTCTTTTGCTCTTTTCGACAACATAGCTAAAAAAGTTTTTGGGATTACTTCTCCGTCAACACTGGCCTACAGATGCCGGCGTGAAAGAAGCGGTATGGAACCTTCATCGTCGCAGAAAAAGTGCGAAACATTGTGGCGGAAAACCTCAGCAACCTCGATCAGTACTTCACAGATGGGAAGAGCAGTTTTGAGCTCACCATCTTGGGCAAATGCAATGACACCTAATTACACCCTACTGCAGATGGCTGGACCCTTCTGTTGACCTTTCCCTTGCAAGAATTTTCTCCCATCCTCGACAATAATCTCACGTGGTGCTCAGAATAAGAAAACATGATTTTCTCCGTTTCAAAAACATGGAAAACGTGAATCTAAGCACCCCTTCGAGATACAGCACAGTATTATCATCTTTAAGGCCAGAGATGCCAAAAGCAGTAAAGACAGAAGAGAAAAACTCAGTCAGAAAAACATTCGGAATGAGAGCTCGATAATAGTTACAAAAGTTAAACCTTACAGAATATAAGCTGGAAAGCGCCATACCTGGAACCACCTCTCCACATCTAATGGAACGATGAATGCACCCAGCCAGGCTCCCAACAATGTTCCGACAATGTTCTACTCGAAGAGTTAGCTCCAAATGTGTGGCACACCTGTAACAGTTGCCCTCAGAAGCTAAAAGTCAAGAGTAATGAGAATTTCTAGAAGCTAAAAGTCAAGAGTAATTTCTTTCTAGCAGAGTATGACTGTTCCGTATTTTGCGTTTTCACGTGATTCAGAGGATTGATACTTGAACGAACTGTTCCAGCAGGGTTTTACCTTCGACACTAATGGCGTGGAACGATGCGCTAGCCCTAGTCAAGAGCATAAAAAGTGTGACTGAACAAAACTCACCTTGGAAAGCCGCTAGAAAGGGAGCCTGAAGTGGGCGTGGTTGCTCAGTCGGCTGTCCCTCAGCCGACTTCCAACCACGCCCACTGCCCACAGAATCAGTACAGACTGGAGCAGAAAACCAAAAGGCGCTCGATGTTGACAGTAACTGACTCGCGTACCTTTCACTATGACTCCGAAGTCTGCTCGTTATTCGGATGGCGATCGCCTCGCTGAAACTTGCTGAGTTAACGGGTGCCCGAATAATTACCATTGGCATATCTACGATAGTGATCTGAACGAGGTACAGCTTTAGAGCAGGAAAGGCTATTAAACAACAGCCATTTACCTGTGCCAATTCGAAGGGGTTAAAACTGTTAAGGAATGAACACTCTGCACAACATTTGACACAGTGACCTCAAAAGAATGACTTTGAGAAAAAAAAATGAATGAACCGTCAACAAGTAAAATTTCGTGAGAAGAAACGTACCTACGTACCTCCGAGTGAAGAATACGAACTCGCCTCGAAGTCGGTTTCAGCGGCAGGAATGTGCTTGTCTGGCATGTTGACTTCTTCAATATAATCACAAATTTCGTCTAAACATTAAGCTGAACATAGCGATGAAAGACTCGAGAGGGAATGAAAACCTGAATAAAGAACCAACCCAGCGTCGTGACATCAACAAGCATTTTCAACTGTCGTGCCAGCCCCTCGTCTCGACTACCAATTTCGCTGTAATGATTGGAATTAAAATCTCGAAGAATTCCGTTATAGGAAGCATCAAACGGATTTAGGTGTTAACGACTCACTGCTTCACAGCATTGATTCTCCTTGATTCGTGGTACTCCTTGTGTTTAAACGACGCCAGGAAAGTGGAACGTCCTCAAAGTCAACTGCAGGGAAGACTCGCCTAAAAAGGAAATTCACTATCAATTATCTACTAATAACTCTATTCGATCTAATAACCTCACCTGTGCTAGTGACTGCAATAGCACCTACGGCTGTTCCCGGCTCTACGATAGCCATTCTCAACTTGAGAGAACAAGCCTCAAGAAAAGCCACATTGTGAATGCGATACGCAATGAGCATGCATCTGAGTGTTCCTGACAAAAATACCACGATAGAGCACTAGGTTTCAAGATAATGTGGAAAACAATAGATGTACCTATAGTTTGCTGACTGGAAACTGTGCGCACATACACTGGTGATTTGGAGGGATTCTAAAAGCACACAAATGATACTTGAATAATGGTCTATCTAATTTGTTAAATATAAGGGTATAATAGCAAAAAAACGAAGTTCTTAGAGGACTTGGAAGGTGAGTAAAGCGAAACCGTCTGCACAAATTTTTGAAGATGCACTGATACTTTGCAATTGTCTCACAAATGCTTTACAAGTGGAGTGCGGAATAGTCACGCATCGATCTTGCGGTCGCCGCTTCGATATGTCATTTATAGTTAATTTATTTATTACGTACATTTCTACATAACCATACAAACAACAAACAAAAACATGGTTGCGATGGACATGTGCCATGTGCTGCTGGCAACGTGTTAACATAGAGCTACGGACAGTCGTACCGGAACTCACTACCAAAAAATGAGAACATTGCCTGGATGGCGGCTCTTGCCTAACGGTACTGTTCAGCGCTACCTGAAAAGCGTGAGAGTCGACGCATGGGTATTGTAAAAGAGTCATATTTCTCACAAAAATTCAGTAGTCGAAATTGTAACGGTGAAGAAGCAAAAAGAGGCAGAGTTCAGCCTGACTGATTCATTCTAATAGGAAAAGAAACAATTGTTCGTGTGTCTAGGGTCGACGGACTACTTGACTCGGTCCTTTGAGCCACCTCAATTCAATGCTCTCGTCTGCGCTCTCTCGAATTATCAGCGGCTCATGACCACTGTGATCTCACACATTCAAACTTTTGCCACACTGTAATTGGCTCACCCACCCTGAAGCCCCCTCCAAGGCCTAGTCCTAGCTCCCTCCCTCGTCTTTGAGATTTGGAGCCGAGTCAGGCGTTAAATTTGCAGTCGTCTGTGCTCTCCGCTATTCGAGACATTATACAGAACAATTCCGGGAGCTTGGTCAACTTCGATGGTTTACTACTGTCAGTCCTGTTTTTCAGAGACAAAGGCGGTTAATGTTCTTGCGCCCCAACATTATTTCTAGCTATCGGCCTGTGACGGACTTCCAACGCTGTAGCGAAAACATTCATTGTCCTCGGACATGTGGAAACTCCAAATGGTGGTTCCGGCATCCGTGCTGGCATCGATGGTTTTGGAGCTTTCTGTGTTGTGTGTTGCTGCTGGACTCTTTCACAACTAATGCACCCTTCGTGGGGACCATCTCCCTTATCTCTCTGATTTCGCCTGCCAGACGCCTGCCAGGAGAGAGATCGATTGGACGGAGGTGACTGGCTTCGTCTGTAAGTCCACAATAACCAGTGCGGCCTAGCAAGTCCATTGCGTAGAGAACGTAGAGAACGCTCGTAGGCGTTGCTTGGCTTCCAACTGCACTAACTCTCAATCTTCATTGGGTTCATGCTGACTATCATCAAGAGGCCTGTAAATAACATGGTAGGGGAGGAGACAAAAAATGAAGTTCGATACAACCGGGACAATTCCAGTACATATTAACGAGTGAGCAAAATAATTTTTTACAGGAAATGGTAGCAGTGCGAAGTTCAGAACCTCTTATCAATTATCTCAAGTCACCTCTGACGTAACGGGCCTATGACTAAGCCTCCAACCTCAAAGGCACGGGTCGCGATCCGAACTGGTGTGTAGTTGTGTTGATGTATTGGACAAGAAGTGCGAAGAGGAACGCTCATGGGGAGAAAGACAAAAAGAAGGGTATGAAAATGCTGAATTTTCTTGTGAAGTCGACTACGGTACTGCGGAGAGACACGCATTGCAAGGAGAAGGAAACGCGAGAAAAGAAGTGTACGTAGAGGCGCAGACACCACGTATGCTGCAAATCGAAAGATTGGCAGCAGTCGCAGCGGTCAAAGAAAGGCCTAAGTTTCCTGGTCGCACGCTTTCAGGTCTGACACTACCACCGCTCCACCAATTAGTGGCTCTGCTACTACACTCAAGGATGATTACCTTTGAAGATCAAACTGCAGTCCATTCATTCAAATTCAAGCATGACGCACTGTGTGACCATGTGCCACGGCCCAGGACTGGGCCTAGGCTTTGGCGTATGTATGTCATTGAAGCCTGACCAGCTCTGATATAGGGATAACTGAACGTCCACCCGTAAAAGTAAATGCTCGCGCATGCAGCGCCTGCTTCGAAAATATATTTATTCACCCAAGTAGGTACGCCTATCGCAGATACAGCAAGATTTGTGGACATATTTCCCTTGAAGTGATCCAAAAGGTACTAAATTCAGCCATTGTGGGAAGAGCAGTTCAATTCTGAGGTGTCACGATTGAAACATCATTTTCTAATTAACGGGTTGTTTCTGCTGCACCTAACCTCAACATCAGAGCCAACCCTAACCTTCGGCTTCAATCAGGGTGAAAATCGCGTCGAGGAAATGATCGCGTCCGTTAGACCCCCCCCCCCTTGACGAGGACTACCATACGACCTCCTTCTATAAATAGCAGACTCGTAGTAGTATAGTCTATCCCCCACTTTGAATGCGTCCCCAATTATGTCTGGGAGTCAAGCTCATGGCACACCCAAAAAGGGTTGGTCAGTGGTTATTTTATCTACTGGATATTGAGTCATGCACAACCATGATGAACCACCCGCCAAAACCGTGATTCGAACTCCGATCCGAGTTCGAGTCCCGGCAGCGGCAAAGTAATTGGCCATAACTCAGCACTCTTTAGATAACAGCTGCATCGCGAACTGTGCTTGAAAACAACAATATACAAAGCAGAAAAACAGAGGACAGGATAAAAGTGTTGAGCCACACTAAACACTGACCTGTAAGACTTTATTGTGAGAAGATCGAAAACCCAGAAGCAGAAGAGAAAATGGACCACGACTAGAAAAGAACAGGAACTCGGAACAAACAGCAAGTACCACCTACATTCGCACTGAATAATTTTGCGCTCCGATCGTACATCGAATGGAATGCGAGAGTACCGATCGGTGCGCGAACTTGAGCAGTGGTCAAAAGTATCGATATCCCCCTTTTAGAAGGACATTAGCTTCCGCCATTCACAATACCAAAAAAAAGAATGGCGTATTTTGGAAGTTCGTACTTTCTTGATTGTTTTACGCTTCTGGCGAAAGAGCTCGGGCGAAGTCACGCAGCCGCGACGCGCCGCTTGTTCGCGCCCTCTCAGTAAAATAATGTAAATCTGCACATTCCAGCCTTCAAGTGTGTCAAGTGACTCACCTCACCCCTCCACCCCCTGGAATGGGTACACTTCCTCTGGCTCATGTGATTCCTCGCCTTGCACAGGAAGGTGCGAAGTTGTCGCGCATCGCGGCGGCGACTGCCCACTGAGCCACAGTCAGAATCACCGTCCGATGTTTCAATCCCAAGGAATTTACGGCCCACTCCTTCAAGGGAATCTCGACACTACCTTTCACGACCACCATCACCCTTGGGGGAGTCCCTCAACACGACTCCCCTCCCCTCCCCGGACCCTGGCCGTCACCCTCGCCACCATAGTTGTCTTCTATAGTAAGCAGAAGGTTCTGCAAGGAGTCCACATGCGTTTAACTCCGCCCACTTTGTCCTCCGAAACGGCCGTCAAGGGGGGATATTTCTAATGAAATGACAAATCCTCTAATTTTGCCCACATCATGCATACTTTTTCAAATTTCCACAAAAATTATTAGAAAAGCAGCCGAAAACGACCAACCACCACTCATTCCATCTTACTTCCGAAAACACGACCCCCGTTCCCTACCTTTGAACCCGCTCAATACAAGTGGGATGAGCACGCCGTATTTCTTATGAACAGTAGGCGCGAAATGTACGGGGACTGCTGCCCGCTACTATAACGTGACAAGACGTTATGAAGTTACGCACAAATTACAGCTTTTCACACATGTCAAGTGACTGCCTTCACGCTAACCCCCTTACATGCATGTTGCGTCTACAGTATTCGAAAAATACGGCGTGCCCATCTCACTAGTATTGTACCTCAAACAGTATACTTCTCTCAGCGAAGGAACAAGATGAAATAAAATAAGTACATATCCGCGAAATATCAAAAGAGTGATTGAGATGGGTGTAGAAAGACTCAATAATCAGTCTGGCCAGGTTGTCAAAAAGGGCTACAGGGTGAATATCGGTCGAGGAAATCCTCGACAGGGGGGTCGTACCTGTTGGGCTGGTCCATGGGGGGTCGTACTCTTGGGGTCAGTAACAGCAGTGGTATCGTGGTGCAGATAGGTAAGAGGGTATAGCGCAGCAGAAAATGAAAATATACGGAAAAA